CCCCCAAAACCCCAAAACCCCAAAACCCCGGATTATCGTGATCCAATTGAATCATTAGTACCATTACGTTGCGTGATGTTTTAGGATTTCTCCAAAAGTTTCTTTCCTGATTCCATTGTGTCATCATGGTCTTCCAACTTGTAGAATTCAGAGTTTCCGTTACCCTTTGTGTATTGAGCTTCAACAGGAATATTTCCAGCCTGAGACTTGTGTTTCTTGGGAAATAGCACATACTTCTCAAGGTTCATGAATGGGACTTCTCAGATGAGGGTCAACGGAATCCCGACAATAAAAGAAATGACAGTACTTCCAATAGCAAAGAACCATTGAGATGTCAAAGTAACATAGACACTGGCTCTCAAGTCATTCAGGAAGTGCATCATTACGACACAGTGGATCATGTAAACCATGTAATTTAGTCTGGCTAGCACTTCAAACATCTCAGCTCCCAAGAATCCTTTAATAACCCTAAGCCTTCCCACAAAAGTAGGAACAATGATGAGGCCAACAGCAGCTACGAAGAAAGGTCTGGCTGTGAAGTTGTACAGAAAAGAAAGCCATAAAGGCCAGCAGTTTCCTCCTTCCATGCTTATTGGATCACCACATCCTCTTGAATATGCTGCATTAGGGAAAACATACAGTGCTGTGACTCCTACTCCAAAGAGACACACCAGAACAGATACCATCTGTGAGTTTTTAAGGATATCATAACATTTATTGAAGAAAGTGCCTGATAGTTCCTGATATTTCTCCCTACAAGTCAGCTCAAAGTAAGAGATTCCAAACAGAGCACCTACGAAGTAAGCGCCCATTCTGGTCCAAGGCTTGTTGTATACATAATCTGCCACATCAGTCTTTTTGCTAGATTTTCCATCCATAGATATGTCCCATACAAGTGACAAGACTCCCATAACGACCATTGACACAACAATCAATGAAAGAACAAGTAGCTTCCCTATCCTCCTGTTTAGACAGTAGATAATAATAATCGGCGGACTGATAATGAAGAACTGCATATCACACATCAAGTACCAGACCCAGCCAATGCAAGCGCTTCCCATACTCCAAGGGTGGAAATTGGCAATAAACAGGAAGTTGGACCAGGGGTTAGCAAAGCACGATTTATTCATCCAGTCCCAAGTAGTCCTATTTCAAAAGTTATAATCTGAAATCTCAGCCTAAATGCCGGATGTGTTTATTCACTCTCAAAAATGTTCTGGCGTAAATCTGGGAGCCCAGATTCTCCTTCTAAGTGATGCAAATTGTTGCTAAAACAATCGGGGTTGCATTAACCAACGACATTGGGAATTATCTGGTCCTAGTAATTGTAGAGCCTAAGGGAAAGTAACCAAATCTTCTTTCAGACCTGAATAGGGCTAAGATTTTGAGAGAATTTAGAGCTGAAAATATTTTAACTTTTGCTTGAAAACTGAATGATAAGGAACCTAAGTTTACTGATAATTCTGAATCTATCCCGAAAGCTAGATTTTGGAAAGATTTAGAAAGGATTCAGGAAGAACTTACCTATACATTGGACCACTTCCTATATATCTGACCACATACATTGTGAAGAATTGAATGTACACCATTGGGAAGATGAGCCTGTAATATCTGTGGAAATAGATCAGAAGAGTATTTACAATCCCAATCATTCCTCTCTTTGGATACATTTTTGATATCAATAGAGCGAATGTGAGGAAACCAGAGAGGAAGAAGAACGTATCAACAGCGAAATATCCTCCTGGAACAAGAGAGAACCAGTCACTCTCGAACAAGACTTTGAGGCTCTGTGAATTCTTGACAGAAGAAAACATTACAAATGCAAATGAATGGCCAAGGATTACCCATCCAATACTGAGCACTCTGACACCGTTGAGTACATTCAATGTCTTATCACCTCCGTCTTTCACAGTGAACAACTTCGAGAGGTTTACGATAGGATTCCAAGAATGTAGGGCTAGGGCCCACGTCATCTTTCTATCCTCAATCTTATCTGATCTGAAGTTCCCATTATTTCCGAGATTAGTATAGCTAATAAGCATGCCAAGGAACCAGAGCAATACAATAAATCCTGTTACAACAAGAACAACGATTCCTCCAGTAGACATTGACTCAGAAAGAACCTCTCTTGGAACTGAAATGGTTGCAACAATCTCGATATCAGGAGGCATATATGGTTTAGATTGTCTCTGCACAAAAGCAGATAAATCTTCAAAACTAGCTTTGTTTGAACACTCTTCTGGAATGCACAAACCCATTTTCACAACAGGTATATTCTGAGGTTGCAGTACAAGCATCAGCATCACATATTCGAGCCCTTCAGTGTGACACGAATCAAAGTCTCCAAGTTCATTTGGACCCTTGCCGCTATTTAAAGCAACTTTCACTAAATCACCAAGGCCTTCAGGACTCAGGACTCTTCTGAGGTTTTGTAGGCAAGGCGTGTCTTGTTCATCAGCGCTGAGGCTAGGGCTGATATCGGCAAAGACTGCACACAAGAGTACTAGGAAGAAAAGTATTCTCATTTATATTTATGTTTGGAAGTCAGCAGGTTTTATTTTATAGGGGTTTTGGGGTTTTGGGGTTTTGGGG